AGTCAGAAAGTAACAGACGCACAAATATCATACCCCCAACCTTTCACCATTACAATAACAGGGGTGGTTAGCATTTTTAGGCGGGTATGATATTTGAGCATGTATAACGTTCTCACTCATCATTATTCACGATTCACTCAGGATTATCCATAATCATGGTAGCATCCAAATTCATGTAGAAGTGTTTAGAAAACGTGACCCCAAAATGCCCCAAAAGGGTGATATTAGATTGTGTAGAAATGAATCGTTCAGTTCTTACGAATAAAAGTAGCCTATTGTCAATGTTCTTATATAATGTATGGCTGAATTAGAACATCAAATGTCCACCCAGTGACTACATCTTTGCACACAAAAACATGGGTGTTTTTATCTTTCATCCTGTGGTATAGCGTTAGACATTAAGAATAATTTTTCCATGACATAGACTGACCAGGTGAATCTGGTTGAAAGCTATGAAAGCTCCTTTATTGACGTCACTTGCTAAATCCACTTCAATCAGTGTAGACGAAGGGGAGGAGAGGTTAAGGAAGGATTTTCAAGCCTTTAGACAATTGAGACATTGATTGTGTATGTGTACCATTCAGAGGGTGAATGGGCAAGACAAACATTTTAAGTGTCTTTGAACAGGGTATGGTAGTAGTTGCCAGGCGCACCGGTATGTGTCAAGAACTGCAACGCTGCTGGGTTTTTCACAGGCAACAGTTTCCTGTGTGTATCGAGAATTGTCCACCACCCAAAGGACATCCAGCCAACTTGACACAACTGTGGAATGCACCTCGACACCTTGTAGAGTCCATGCCCCAATGAATTGAGGCTGTTCAGAGGGCAAAAGGAGGTGGGTCCAACTCAATATTAGGAAGGTGTTCCTAATGTTTGGTATACTCAGTGTAGATTGGAGAGAGAAATAGAATGTGAGGGAGAGAGAATGTGTGGATGTGTTTAACTATTCTTGTGGGGACCAAAACAAAAATTTGACCAACTCTGGACATTTTGTTAGTCCCCATGAGGTCAAATGCTATTTCTAGGGTTAAGGTTAGGGTAAGGGCCCTCTCTCTCACTCACACACACACACACAGAGTGCCCTCTTGAGGAAGGCTTGGGTCAATTCCAGTGGTCCAAAGACTGCCCAATACCCAGAGCTGCTAAACAGAGTTTGGGCATACATCTCTCTGTGTTAGCAACACATGTTCTATGACAACAACATTCTTTTGGGGAATTTTACAGATTTGTTTTGCTGTTGCCAGATATTACATTTACATTTTAGTCATTTAGCAGACACCCTTATCCAGAGCGACCTACAGGAGCAATTAGGGTTAAGTGCCTTGCTCAAGGGCACATCGACAGATTTTTCACCTAGTCGGCTCGGGGATTAGAACCAGCAACCTTTCGGTTACTGGCACAACGCTCTTAACCACTAAGCTACCTGCCGCCCCAAGATATAAAATTGTAATTTGACTTCTTCCTAGAAAGCAAGCCTAATGTATTGGATCTTTCATTAGAAGTTTAAAAGTCAGAGTTTGCCAAACTCTACCACTAGGATACCGATGCCAGTAAGAACAAACAGATGATAGCTTTACCTTATAATAATTCAAATATACTTTATTGGAGGTTGTAAATGGGATCCCTGTGAAGTGCAGTATTGTTGACCATATAGCACAGTCCAGAAAGTGTTCCCATCCGAGCTCCATAGGTTCACCATGTCAATGATGGGTTTGACCTCTAACCTTCGAACTCAGGTCGCAGAAGAGAATGTCTCAAAGGAATACGGAAAGTAAAATGACAGTTGATATCATACTGTGTTTTCCACACATCCAGGCACTCTTCAAAGTCTACGTGATATCTTCAGGTTTATTTATCCAGACATACACATGATAGAATATAACAAAGTCCTTATGATATTGTCAGTAAAGGTCTATTAATATAACAGAGAAAGTATGATGATCAGTAGTATGATTATTTTGGCAGTGATACTCAACATCAATAACATGATCAAAACAATAACGGTAATAATAAATGTTCTTATAAAGTACGGCGGGATATTACGAAAGCATCTAAAGAGAAACACATACTGTATATATTTGTATACATTCACTTTATTGCAATAAGGTTTTCCTAAAGCAAGCATATGATTTTTCACTTTTTTATTTGCATAGTTCAAGCAGTTTGTGTATTTTCGCCAAAATAGCAACAGTTGATGTTATTATTAAGATATACATAGTTGAAATGGGAAATATGTACATAGACCAATGTGCTAAATCCTTCCACATCAATATTAGCCACAAATGCTACATGTTTAATCAAATATTGGACACCCCGTATGAGGCAACACATATGAGGCCAATTGTTCCAAAAAATACCAATATTTTCAAAATCATCTTTAACCAGGCCCTTCAAGACAATTCTTAAAAGCAAAAAAAATAAAATATTTTTGCAATAATAATTTTCCCCCAATATCATGTAAAACGCAAAACATTCCAGATTACGTGTTAAAAATGTAACCTGTCGGCTGAAACCTTATTTTAGTCATCAAATCCCATGCGTCTAAAAAAATATGTACTGCATCTTTTTGACCTTAGTTTTCCCTTTCTCAAACAAGAAAAAATATAATTATTTTCTTCAGACTTCTGTTTTTTTTGTGTGTATACAAATGTTTCACTTGCCTTCAAACATGGCGGCTTGAGTCTGAAGAAACATATCTTCCTGTACAGACACAACATTACCTCTGAGCCAATATGACAAAGGGGGAGAAACGGATGAAGGGATGGGGGAAAAGACAGAGAGAGGGAGAGATGGGTGGATAGTGATGGAGGGAGGAATGAAGACAGAAATAAAAAGAGCTGTACTTTCAGAGGCCACAGGTTAAATCTGGAGACACTAACAGTGATCTGACGTTCATGCACGTTCAAACACATTTTCCAGCCAAAATGCAAATGATGGGTCAGCAACTTATATTAGAGGACAGGAGGAGGAGGAGTATGTGGCACATAAATGCACCATGATACGTCCTCCACTTCAGATAGCATGTGGAGTGACTTTAGAATTACAATGTAGAACTCATACAATCCATTCCATTTAGACAAGAAATGTAACATATGTTTATATTTCTTGCATTTAGAATTCCTCCAACCCTGACCAGGACAGTAATATGTCTATATATGTGTCTATCTATCTGTCTCACCCAAAGTGGTTGATCACGTTAGAAGTGATGGGTCATAGAAAAATAATTAGATGTATTTTGAGAGGTAAAAATGTGTTGATCAGAATAAATCATCTCTATATGCTAAAAAGGTTCAGACTTCAACATAGCACTGTATAATATTAGGGATATAATAAATGTAGGATGTATTTAGCTTTCTGATATGTACAGTACACTGTAAGTTGGCTGTGATGCAAGTTGCTGGCCCATCTTAACACAAACATGTGTTTCAACTAGCAGACTTACAATTCTAAGGTCACTTCTTTTTTTCACTGACGTCTTTCCACATACTATATTCTGTACTGTATATATATATAAATGTAGATATAGAGAGATTTTATCTACACATGTATCTATTGATATACTGTACCACTGAAGTAAGGTCTTATAGCAGTGAGAGAACTAAGAGGATTCCAATGGCTTTAACGCTAACGGTGTGTGGGCTGTACTCACATCAAGACACACAGTTACCAGAGAACTAACAGTAGTTTCAGAGTGAGGCAGGATGGGTCTTCCTGCAGACAGTCACACACATACACATACAGGTCCCAACCAGCCCTGGGTGTAGGAAGGAAAGGGGACAGAGGGGGTGTAGGCTAGCCTAGAGAAAGGGCTGGGAGGCAGGCGTCACAGTGGGTCAGGTGTTCAATAGGCGTGTTCCTCACCTGGGATGGTGTGTGTGTGCTTTCATACAGTACCCCCCCCCCCCCCCCCCCCCCTTTTGTTTTTTGCCCTAACACTACACAGCAGATTCAAATAATCAAATCTTGATGATGAGTTGGTTATTTTTGTAAATTATTTTTTGTCATTTTAGCAGACGCTCTTATCCAGAGCGAATTACAGTTAGTGAGTGCATACATTTTCATACTGGCCCCCATGCTCTACCAGCTGTGGGGGGTGGGGGGGGGGTTGGGGTAGGGTGGTGGTTCAGGACCGAGTTTGGGAAACCCTGTGTTATGTTACTGTTCCCACTCCTATATCTCTTTATGGCTCTTCAACTACCATCAGTCCGCATCCTCCTCCTCCTCTGTGACCATTTCCTGTTACACTGTAACATCAGCCTCTGATTGGTTCTACTGCTCTCTGCACCAATAAGAAGCTCTCACTCCCCAGTCCCTCTTCCTGAAGTCCAGCTCCGGCAGTCTTATTCCCTGTTCATCTTAACAGAGATCCGTGCATCACGTACGATAAGTCCCCTCCTGAACCGTTCAGTCACAAAACTCTACTGTCCTTGGCTTCTAGTCTCTGTGGTCCTTCTAATCTCTCCATAGCATACACCGTCCTGAGCTGAGTAACGGAGAAAAACTGTCAAAACAGTCTCACTGTCTGTGTAGCATGGCGGAGAGCATGTTAGAGTGCTGTATACACCCCTGCTTTCTGGCTAGTTTAGTAGCATCAAATTCTGTGTCAAACGCATCACCCCCAAAATAGTTAAAAACTACAGCATTGTGTTTTATTTGCTTTTGTTTAGTTTGCTTTACCTGCCCTTATAGAGAAGCTATTTTCTGCCAGGCCTAGACTGAGAAGAAGAGTGTAAGTGTGGTGAATGATAGAGGGAGAGTGGAGGGTGCTGTTATAGAGCCCCTTGAGGTGGGAGGTATGGACCTCCATCATAGTCTGTTTGCCTTGAAAAAGTCCTCAGGTGGCCAACTTCCCAGACTTCCTGTGACAGCTTCCTGTTTCCTGTTGTGTTGTTGTGGAGGTCGTTGGGTTTATACACCGGCGGGCAGGTGGTCTGGGAGACTAACCAGTTTCTAAACATAACCAGTTTCTTTGGGCATTTTCTTTATATTCCGGTGGATCGTCAGAAGGACGCTCCATCAAACTTGACGGCAGCCAAAGCTTGAGCTAGAGATGAAAGAGAGAGATGAAAGAGAGAGAGAGAAAACATACTTTAACCCCAGTACAACTCACTTTTACAAAACACTCAAACAAAGACACAATGGAAACTGAAAGCAGAGAAAGGAAACGTATCCAGACTCAGATTAGTTCCCTTTCTACAATTTGTTTGTGTAACTCTCTAAATGCTTATTTGACCACAGGACAATTCTCTGTGCTGCCTCATTTTGGTAAACCACTCCAAGCCAGTTTGTACCAATCACTGCTGAGGATCCTGTCACTGAGTACAGGATGTGCCCCTGTTATGTTTGAGAGTGGTTATTGAGGGGACTCAATAGTTGTCACAACAAGGCTGAGAAAGCTGCAGTGCAACGTCAACTTGTCAACATTTTCCACTGAACATACTCTGCGTGGTTGCAATTTGGGTACAACAAGTCCACAATGGTGCTTTCACAAGACACACATTTAACTGCCATCAGCTTCAAAACAACAACAATGATCATAGAAAGTCATGGGAGTATGACCGCCGCTCTATATAATACATTTAGAATAAAACAATGTTTGGTGTGGGTATGCAGACAATAGACCCTGAACACCGTAAGTCAACCAGGAAGACATTAGGTTGGAACTGAAGATACTACCCAAGGACTTCAAGCTCTTTTAAGGTATTGCATTGTTGTGCCATTTGTGTAAGTCTGCATTCAGTTTGTGCTCCTGGCTTTTGGAAGGGCCATGTGTGACCCTACCAATGTTTAAAAGTATGGCGGATATCTCAAGTTGTTTTTTCCAAACACATTGTAGGGAAATAAATCAGGATCGTTTGTGAGGTGTGAGTTTTTGACCAGCAATGACAGGACTGTGTTCTTTGTAAGGATTATGGTCATAACCAACCACTTAAACTAATGAAAAATGTGCTGACAGGAAGCTTGATCATCCAATTAGTTGAATGTGATGGCTGTTAGCTCCAAATCTGAAACAGCAGTTTATCATTATTGGATTTTATTGCTGAGTATGTGTTGTACGTGGCAGCCTGGCTTCATTCAATGCGTATAGCTCTAAATTGACTGGTCCATGGCAGAAAACAGAGGCCCCGTCCTGAATGGCCCCAGCTTAGCCCTACTCATTTAACACTGTGTACAAGTACAGGGTACAGAACTTCACATCCGAGTCAGCTGTCATCACTCTCTCTAACAGCATCACTTCAGCCTCACTTCCTCTCTGTGTCCTACATCAGCACAAACTGAGAGACAGATAATCACGACTTCAGGGGGAGGCCTCCACAAATCTTCAAGGGATAGTTCACTGTCATATCTGTATTGATTCATCGTTTCTGTACATAGAAATGCGTACAGTACGTGGATGAGGACTGGTAGTAATATACAATTGTTGTACGGTTATTTCGGTATAGTAAACATAAATATCATGTTAGCACTGTTCATTGAGAGCATTCTGAACTATTTTCCAGTTCATAAAACAATTGAGCAAAGCAGATAGCAATAAAATATCCACCTGCAGCCATTGGTCAAGACATCACCTGATGGAAAAACTAAGAGCCCTGCCCAAACCAGGAGAGGTGAAGGAGGGGGTGTGAGGTAGGAGGAGGAAACCAGAGCGGGGGTGAGGAAGGGTGGGGGTGGGGGGGATGTAAGTGTGGTTGGTGGGCGGGGACTCACCTTCACAGACTCACACCTTCATGATGTGAACGGAGTCGGAGAAGTCGGCGGAGGACGGGGGAGGGGCCAGGTTGGTCGGGGAGGCGGGGGGGCTGGGGGCGCACTGGGCTGGAATGGAATGGGGGTGTGAGGTGAGAACTAGCAAAACAAATAGCAAAACATGAAGGTGTAAAGCAATAATAAAGGGGTGAGGCAGCTTCAACAGGGAAGACTGTGCCCTCACTGCACCCCACAAGCATAACAGGAACATGACATCTGTAGGGATATGGTGCTAAGCCTGTATAGCTTTGTACTGAGGAAGCAAGGGAATGTAGCAAGAATGCTATGATAAAGCCATTGCACCTGGATCTGGAGTTTGGCTACACACATTCAGAACACTTTAGAAAATGGAATAGTTTGAACAGCGGTTATCTAGATTGTAAATGACAGGAAGCATGAACGTCAGTAACAAATTGTAGGTATACTTGCAGAATATATATATATATATATATATACACAGTGGGAGAACAAGTTTTTGATACACTGCCGATTTTGCAGGTTTTCCTACTTACAAAGCATGTAGAGGTCTGTAATTTTGATCATAGGTACACTTCAACTGTGAGAGACGGAATCTAAAACAAAAATCCAGAAAATCACATTGTATGATTTTTAAGTAATTAACTTGCATTTTATTGCATGACATAAGTATTTGATACATCAGAAAAGCAGAACTTTAATATTTGGTACAGAAACCTTTGTTTGCAATTACAGAGATCATACGTTTCCTGTAGGTCTTGACCAGGTTTGCACACACTGCAGCAGGGATTTTGGCCCACTCCTCCATACAGACCTTCTCCAGATCCTCCAGGTTTCGGGGCTGTCGCTGGGCAATACGGACTTTCAGCTCCCTCCGAAGATTTTCTATTGGGTTCAGGTCTGGAGACTGGCTAGGCCACTCGAGGACCTTGAGATGCTTCTTACGGAGCCACTCCTTAGTTGCCCTGGCTGTGTGTTTCGGGTCGTTGTCATGCTGGAAGACCCAGCCACGACCCATCTTCAATGCTCTTACTGAGGGAAGGAGGTTGTTGGCCAAGATCTCACGATACATGGCCCCATGCATCCTCCCCTCAATACGGTGCAGTCGTCCTGTCCCCTTTGCAGAAAAGCATTTCCAAAGAATGATGTTTCCACCTCCATGCTTCACGGTTGGGATGGTGTTCTTGGGGTTGTACTCATCCTTCTTCTTCCTCCAAACACGGCGAGTGGAGTTTAGACCAAAAAGCTCTATTTTTGTCTCATCAGACCACATGACCTCATCTCCCATTCCTCCTCTGGATCATCCAGATGGTCATTGGCAAACTTCAGACGGGCCTGGACATGCGCTGGCTAGAGCAGGGGGACCTTGCGTGCGCTGCAGGATTTTAATCCATGACGGCGTAGTGTGTTACTAATGGTTTTCTTTGAGACTGTGGTCCCAGCTCTCTTCAGGTCATTGACCAGGTCCTGCCGTGTAGTTCTGGGCTGATCCCTCACCTTCCTTATGATCATTGATGCCCCACGAGGTGAGATCTTGCATGGAGCCCCAGACCGAGGGTGATTGACCGTCATCTTGAACTTCTTCCATTTTCTAATGATTGCGCCAACAGTTGTTGCCTTCACACCAAGCTGCTTGCCTATTGTCCTGTAGCCCATCCCAGCCTTGTGCAGGTCTACAATTTTATCCCTGATGTCCTTACACAGCTCTCTGGTCTTGGCCATTGTGGAGAGGTTGCAGTCTGTTTGATTGAGTGTGTGGACAGGTGTCTTTTATACAGGTAACGAGTTCAAACAGGTGCAGTTAATACAGTTAATGAGTGGAGAACAGGAGGGCTTCTTAAAGAAAAACTAACAGGTCTGTGAGAGCCGGAATTCTTACTGGTTGGTAGGTGATCAAATACTTATGTCATGCAATAAAATGCAAATTAATTACTTAAAAATCATACAATGTGATTTTCTGGATTTTTGTTTTAGATTCCGTCTCTCACAGTTGAAGTGTACCTATGATCAAAATTACAGACCTCTACATGCTTTGTAAGTAGGAAACCCTGCAAAATCAGCAGTGTATCAAATACAGTTCTCCCCACTGTATATTTAGGATATTATGACTATAAAGGTAATACGGTGGAAAATTTAGCAAAGTGCTTTTCTGGAGGCAAGATAAAATAAAGTCTGCTATCTGGCAGCACCAGCGTAACAGATACAGTACAAACTTGGTTTGAACTGGTTTGAACTCTGTGCAGCTGGACAATAACAGTATCTGTCCAGTCTAGGGTGACGCATGCTCAAAGGTATGGTTTCATGACAATGTTATGACCGCGACTGACAGCAGTCTGCACACAGTATGATTGAATACTTAACAGTCCTATAAGACTTGATAAATCAAACCCAGATTTGTTTTCCTTCAGTTCGTTACATTACATTGACAAGTTGATGTTCAATTTCCCCTTATCATAAAGTAATTTGTGATGACTATGCATAAGTGATATGTGGTTGGTTGTGGGTAGGGTAGAGACAGAGATAGTGATATGTAGTAAGCAGTGAGCGATTGTGCTGTAGTTTTCAGCAAACGGAAACTCTGTCGATCTAACTATTCGTGGGTTGCGCCTCCATCACTCAGTCACGTCATGCCATTGTTATGAACGTTCTTAAGATTCCTCCACCATATTGTTGCCCAAAAGGCTACTGGGGCCGGTTGCACCAGTTGGTCGTAAGTGGGTCGTAACTCTAATGTGCTCTACGCAGGACCTAAAAATTATACCTGTTGGACCACCTGGGCATAAGGCCTTCTATGAACTACGCCTGGGCATAGATTCTACACCTAGTAGGGAGCAGGTGTAGGGTATTAAATTGCACAGAAAATAATAGCAAAATAATACTTTTGATTTATGCTACATTATAGCATGCTAAATGTATTTGAGCAGATATTATCAATCTACACTGAACAAAAATATAAATGCAACATCTAAAGTGCTGGTCCCATGTTTCATGAGCAGAAATAAAAGATCCCAGAAATGTTCCATATGCACAACTTTGTTTACATCCCTGTTTGTGAGCATTTGATCCTTTGTCAAGATAATCCATCCACCTGACAGGTGTGGCATATCAAGAAGCTGATGAAATAGCATGATCATTACAAAGGTGCACGTTGTGTTGGGGACAATAAAAGGCCACTCTAAAATGTGCAGTTTTGTCACAGATCCCACAGATGTCTCAAGTTTTGAGGGAGCATGCAATTGGCATGCTGACTGCAGGAATGTCCACCAGAGCTGTTGCCAGAGAATATAATGTTCATTTCTCTACCAATGTCGTTTTAGAGAATTTGGCAGTATGTCCAACCGGCCTCACAACCGCAGACCACGTGTAACCACGCCAGCCCAGGACCTCCACATCTGGCTTCTTCACCTGCGGGATCGTCGGTGGGGGGGGGGGGGGGGGGGGGACAAATTCTGATTGGATGGGCCTGTCTCCCCAGTGGGTTGACCTGGCTCCCAAGTGGGTGGGCCTATGCCCTCCCAGGCCCACCCATGGCTGCGCCCCTGCCAGGTCATGTGAAATCCATACATTAGGGCCTAATGAATTTATTTCAATTGACTGATGTATTTATATGAACTGCAACTCAGTAGAATCTTTGAAATTGTTGCATGTTGTGTTTATATTTTTGTTCAGTATAATATAACAGCTGCCACCTCCACTAATTTGCCAAGCCAGAGATCAAATAACCAAATATACAGACAGAGATTGAGTGAAACAAAATCACATTGATTGATTATCAGACAAGTCAAAGGCTTTTAGTCGGGATATAGCCTAGGCTACTACGTGAGTGACGAGCAAATTAATCCACCTGTTATACTAGGCTAACGTTAGCAACACGCTAGGAAAATGTTCTGATAACACTATTTGACGAGTAAACTAGACTAAAGATTGTCATCATGAACACACCACAATTTCGCAAACATTTTCCCAGCTTAATTGTAAACACATATCCAAATGGAGATTCCGTGAAAACAAAAATATGACATTGATTGATTTATCAATACGAGTCCCCATGCTTGTCTCGATGCAGCGCAATAACGTTGTCCCAAACATAACGTTGCTGAAATTATAGTTGACCACACACGGCTATTGCTTTAAAGTATTTAAAACGGTTGGATGTCTTAATTTGGATGTCTTAAGCAATAATATGATAAATGCCTTCAATGGCATTAGCGTACTTTATTCCAATATTTTCATCATTCAGTGATATTCATTCCCACAGCAATTATTGATTGATCCAGCCAGTTGTGGTTAAGAAATGTGCATGCATAGTGATGGGACATGCCTCGCATAGTTTAGAACTGCCACAAGGATGGTAACAGCCTAGTAACAGGTGCTGCCTAGCAACCATCATTATGAAGAATAAAATGTCATGAACGCGCATTGCTTATGCCGGACTTAGCTACGACTAGTCATATTTTTGGTTGGTACAACAAGTGTAAATTCTGATCCCAAAGTCGGACATATCTACGCCCGACCTAGCATTTAAGACCAACTTTTTTATGCCTAACTGGTGCAAACGGCTCCTGGTGTCCAGTCACTCTGAACAGGGGCTAACGACTGTTTCATCTAAATTACACTATAGTGGCCTGGAAATACGATTACATTGCTAAAGTAGGCAAATAATTAGTAGGAAACAACTTTACCATCGTTATGATTTCGTCAAATGTACTTTAGAGGGATGGAAACGTTGCCATTAGCTAGCAAAGTTCATCAAATGCAGCAATGCTAACGTTAGCTAGCTAAAATTCGATGCTGTCCCCTGTCTTAGCTAGCTAGCTAGCTAAAGTGATACTGCCTCTAAAGGCAATCTGGCGACATCACAATGATGACAAAGGTTTTGCCTACTCATTATTTGCCAACTTCTGATACGTCATCGTGTTTCCAAGCCCCTGTAATGCACTTTAGACAGAATCTTCATCAGCGTCCATTGAGAATGCATTGAGTAGAATGCTCAGTTGGGCATGAGTCCTAAAACGAATGTCCAAAACAATATTGTGGCCAAACGTGCAACCCATGGATAGGAGTGGACTAGTGAAACAGACAGCGAGACAGCCAGAGTTCGAGAAAACAGTTTGGTAAAATATCTTCCCTGCTGGCACCAGACTTTCCACAACAATGCCATTCTAATTTGAATTTCTCAATAGAAGATGATCATTTTAGAACGCCTGGTGGTAACATGGCGACATTACATATTCTAAATCTCGGTTCATCTGAGTTGATCATATCTCTGTTAATCTATTGCTCTGGGGACAGGGAAAGGTAGTAACATGTGGGACTGTCTTGGGATGCCCTGTGAATGGACAAGGTTTATGAACCGTTTTTTGTAGGAGCAAATACAGATCCTTGAATAGCAATGTGTGTATCTGTCACCAGTTTTTTTTCTTCATTAATGCACACTGTTGCAAACTGTAGCAACATGTTTTGTAATGGAAAATGTTTCGCAACGAAAACGAGAGTTTCTTATTGGACAAATTCTGGTAGGTCCCTCCCCGTTTTGTCCCATTTGCTTCTTTTGGTTTCTAGTGAAAACACCCCAGGTGGAAACTACTGCACACGGTGAGGAAGTGAGGGTGTGGTTGGCTGGGGTTAGGTAGTGGTTGGGTAGTGGACACTGGATAGTGGATTATATTGCAGTACAGCAGACAGTGAGGGAGTGAAGGAGTGTGGTTGGCTGGGTTTAAGCAGCGGATAGTGGAATATATTGCAGACATTTTACAGTGAGTTAGGGGTTACATTGGGATTTTATAGTTGATGAAACTGGCCCTTAGAACTTTTTCAAAAATTCACTGTATATATTTTATCAAAATGTTTTTCTTTCGAACAAGGCAGTTCCACTATGTTCACCTCCAATTGAACCCCTACAAAGTTGTCATTGATGTTGGGTGTTGAGTGTGTTGCAAACAGTTGGAGAGGGATTGAACATTTCAGTGATTGATAAAGGAAATGTGTATCATAGAGGGGAGGAGGGAAGGGGTTTTGGAGGAAGGAGGAGGTGTTGCAGCAACACATCGCCTCTCGTCGCTGGGGGTCCCCTCAGTGGCAGGGGGGCGACAGGGCCGCGGTCGAGGTTGGTAACGGTAACCTTGAGGGCGTTAACCGTGGTGACAGAGTGGTCGGGGTGGTGACAGTGGAGCGGTAGGCGGCGGAGGCGTCCTCACCGGAGAGCAGGCGGGAGCGTCGCGAGGCCTCGGCAGCCAGAGCACAGGAGATCTCGATCCTCTTCTCCTGCTCCTGAATCTTCTGCTCTGGGTTGCCCTGGTGATGAGGACCGCCCCCCTCAGTAGGACCGTCCAATAGGGGAACCACATTCTGGAGACTGGAGGGAGAGGGAGAGGTGGCAGGGGAGAGAGGCAGAGGGGAGGGCGAGAGTGTGACAAAGAGAGCAAGAGAAAAGAGATTAAATGAGAACGTTTAATACAGAACATGTGGCATTCCATAAAACTGATGTGAAACAGAGGATGGAGAGGAGAGAAAGTTTTGCCAAAGTTTGAGTAAATACACTACTGTACGTATGTGTGTGTGAGAGGTGTATTGGACAGTAGTTGGTAGTGTTTGTACTTACTTTGATTTGGCAATGAGAGTCTTGATCCTCTCTACTTTCTTCTGTTTCTCCTTCTGCTCCTCTGGGCTGAGAGGAGTGGTGGGCTCCATATCCAGGTAGCGCTCCGGAATCAGAACCTTGTCTGGAGCACAAAGCTGAGGACACAACACACATCAGAGGAGGTTTGGTAACCATTTATTTTATGGGTCCTTTATACTGAACAAAAATATAAACGCAACATGTAAAGTGTTGGTCCCATGTTTCATGAGCTGAAATAACAGATCCAAGAAATGTTCCATACGCACAAAAAGCTTATTTCTCCAAAATGTTCAGCACAAATGTGTTTACATCCCTGTTAGTGAGCATTTCTCCTTTGCCAAGATAATCCATCCACCTGACAAGTGTGGCATATCAAGAAGCTGATTATTTACATTTACATTTACATTTTAGTCATTTAGCAGACGCTCTTATCCAGAGCGACTTACAGTTAGCGCATACATTATTTTATCGAACCCACAACCCTGGCGTTGCAAACGCCATGCTCTACCAACTGAGCTACATCCCCTGCCGGCCATTCCCTCCCCTACCCTGGACGACGCTGGGCCAATTGTGCGCCGCCCCATTGGTCTCCCGATCGCGGCCGGCTACGACAGAGCCTGGATTCGAACCAGGATCTCTAGGGGCACAGCTAGCACTGCGATGCAGTGCCTTAGACCACTGCGCCACTCATTAAACAGCATGATCATTACACAGGTGCATCTTGTGCTGGGGACAATAAAAGGCCACTATAAAATGTGCAGTTTTGTCACACAACACAATGCCACAAATGTCTCAAGTTTTTAGGGAGCGTGCAATTGGCATGCTGACTGCAGGAATGTTCACCAGAGCTATTTCCAGAGAATTTAATGTTAATTTCTCTTCCATAAGCCACCTCGAACATTGTTTTAGAGAATTTGGCAGTACGTCCAACCGGCCTCACAACCACAGACCACGTGTATGGCGTTGTGTGGGCGAGCGGTTTGCTGATGTCAACATTGTGAACAGAGTGCCCCATGGTGGCGGTGGGGTTATGGTATTGGCAGGCATAAAATATGGACAACAAACACAATTGTATGTTATCAATGGCAATTTGAAAGCACAGAGATACCGTGACAAAATCCTGAGGCCCATTGTTTGTGCCATTCATCTGCCGCCATCACCTCATGTTTCAGCATGAGAATGCATGGCCCCATGTCGCAAGGATCTGTACACAATTCCTTGAAGCTGAAAATGTCCCAGTTCTTCCATTACCTGCATACTCACCAGACGTGTCACCCATTGAGCTTGTTAGGGATGCTCTGGATCGAAGTGTACGACAGCGTGTTCCAGTTCGCCTATATCCAGCAACCATTGAAGAAGAGTGGGACAACATTCCACAGGCCACAATCAACAGCCTGATCAACTCTATGTGAAGGAGATGTGTCGTGCTGCATGAGGAAAATGGTGGTCACACCAGATACTGACTGGTTTTCTGACATAAGGTATACTGTATGTCACTAACAGATGCATATCTGTATTCCCAGTCATGTGAAATCCATAGATTAGGGCCTAATTAAGTTATTTCAATTCACTGATTTCCTTATATGACCTGTAATTCAGTAACATTTTTAAAATTGTTGCATGTTGCGTTTATATTCTTGTTCATTATACTTGGTATGCAATGATAGAAATTACCTTGTAAAATGATTCATTACATAAACAACCAAAATTACGAATACAATTAAATGCCAATTATGGGGAATTCTTTGAAGCCAGTACAAAATGTATCAATTACCACGTCATTTTGAAATACCATCTGAGACAGCACCACAGAATTAAGTGTTACTGAAATCGCTTCAGGCTGTTTTCAAAGTGTTTCATTAACTTTGCATTAAGCACTAACCCAGCAAACATGTCCATATTGACACAATGCGGGCTAAAACATTGGCCTCAAGTAGGCTGCCCACATTGGGCCAATGTGCCTTTCCTCATCGACTCCACATTGGCCCGCAAGGCATTGCCCCAGTGTGTCCCAGTGTGGGCAGCCCATGTCTTGTGAGGGCAGCCCTCACTTTGCTTGAAATAAGCCCATCTTTTCCCAGCAAACAATGCCCACATTAGCACAATGTGGGCCCAATGAGGGTTAAAAACATTGGAACCATGTAGATGAGGGTTAAAACATTGGACACATGCATTCGGCCGATGCACCTTTGCTTATCGGCTCCACATTGGCACCAAGATAGGTGGCTTCAAGGGCAGCCCTCACTTTGCCTGACATAAGCCCACCCTTAAGAAGCAGGATGTGCAGGTCATGGGCTGGCGTGGTTACACGTGGTCTGCAGTTGTGATGCCGGTTGGATGTACTGCCAACGACATTGGAGGTGGCTTATGGTAGAGGAATGAACAACAGCTCTGTTGGACATTCCTGCAATCAGCATGCAATTGCAAGCTCCCTCAAAACTTGAGACATCTGTGGCATTGTGTTGTGTGAAAAACAGCACATTTTAGAGTGGCCTTTTATTGTCTCCAGCACAAGGTGCACCTGTGTAATGATCCTGCTGTTTATTCAGCTTCTTGATATGCCACACCTGTCAGGTGGATGGATTAGCTTGGCAAAGGAGAAATGCTCACTAAAATTTCTGGGATGTTTTATTTCAGCTCATGAAAAATGGGACCAATACTTTACATGTTGCGTTCATATTTTTATTCAGTGTATATATACACTACATGACCAAAAGTATGTGGACACCTGCTCATCGAACATCTCATGGTTCCATTCAACCACAAGAGCATTAGTGAGGTCGGGCGCTAATGTTGGGTGATTAGGCCTGGCTCGCAGTCTGCATTCCAATTCATCCCAAAGGTGTTCGATGGGGTTGAGGTCAGGACTCAAGTTCTTCCACACTGATCTCGACAAACCTTTTCTGTATGGACCTCGCTTTGTGTACGGGGGCATTGTCATGCTGAAACAGGAAAGGGCCTTCACGAACTGTTGCCACAAAGTTGGAAGCACAGAATCGTCTAGAATGTCATTGTATGCTGAAGGGTTAAAATGTCCCTACACTGGAACTAAGAGGGTTAGCCCGAACCATGAAAAACAGCCCCAGACCATTATTCCTATTATTATATTCCTCCTCCACCAAACGTTACAGTTGGCACTATGCATTCGGGCAGGTAGCATTCTCCTGGCATCCGCCAAACCCAGATTAATCCGTCGGACTCCCAGATGGTGAAGTGTGATTCATCACACCAGAGAACACGTTTCCACTGCTCCAGAGTCCAATGGCGGCGAGCTTTACACCACTCTAGCCGATGCTTGGAATTGCGCATGGTGATCTTAGGCTTGTGTGCGGCTTCTCAGCCATGGAAAAACAATTTCATGAAGCTCCCGATGAACAGTTGCTTCCAGAGGCAGCATGGAACTCGGGAGTGAGTGGTAGTAAGTGTTGCAACCGAGTACAGATGCTACGAGCTTCAGCACTCGGCGGTCCCGTTCTGTGAGCTTGTTTTTTTATTTTATTTCACCTTTATTTAACCAGGTAAGCCAGTTGAGAACAAGTTCTCATTTACAACTGCGACCTGGCCAAGATAAAGCAAAGCAGTGCGATAAAAACAACAACACAGAGTTACATATGGGGTAAAACAAAACATAAAGTCAAAAAATACAACAGAAAATATATATACAGTGTGTGCAAATGTAGCAAGTTATAGGCTATAGTGCAAAATAATTACAATTAGTATTAACACTGGAATGATAGATGTGCAAGAGATGATGTGCAAATAGAGATACTGGGGTGCAAATGAGCAAAATAAATAACAATATAGGGATGAGGTAGTTGAGTGGGCTAATTTCAGATGGGTTGTGTACAGGTGCAGTGATCGGTAAGGTGCTCTGACAACTGATGCTTAAAGTTAGTGAGGGAGATAAGAGTCTCCAGCTTCAGAGATTTTTGCAATTTGTCAAGTCATTGGCAGCAGAGAACTGGAAGGAATGGTGGCCAAAGGAGGTGTTGGCTTTGGGGATGACCAGTGAGATATACCTGCTGGAGCGCATACTACGGGTGGGTGTTGCTATGGTGACCAATGAGCTAAGATAAGGCGGGGATTTTCCTAGCAGTGATTTATAGATGGCCTGGAGCCAGTGGGTTTGGCGACGAATATGTAGTGAGGACCAGCCAACAAGAGCGTACAGGTCACAGTGGTGGGTAGTATATGGGGCTTTGGAGACAAAATGGATGGCACTGTGATAGACTACATCCAATTTGCTGAGTAGAGTGTTGGAGGCTATTTTGTAAATGACATCGCCGAAGTCAAGGATTGGTAGGATAGTCAGTTTTACGACGGCATGTTTGGCAGCATGAGTGAAGGAGGCTTTGTTGCGAAATAGGAAACCGATTCTAGATTTAACTTTGGATTGGAGATTCTTAATGTGAGTCTGGAAGGAGAGTTTACAGTCTAACCAGACACCTAGGTATTTGTAGTTGTCCACATACTCTAGGTCAGACCCGTCGAGAGTAGTGATTCTAGTCGGGTGGGCGGGTGCCAGCAGCGTTCGATTGAAGAGCATGCATTTAGTTTTACTAGTGTTTAAGAGCAGTTGGAGGCTACTGAAGGAGTGTTGTATGGCATTGAAGATCATTTGGAGGCTTGTTAACACAGTGTCCAATGAAGGGCCAGATGTATACAAAATGGTGTCGTCTGCGTAGAGGTGGATCTGAGAGTCACCAGCAGCAAGAGCGACATCATTGATATACACGGAGAAAAGAGTCGGCCCAAGAATTGAACCGTGTGGCACCCCCATAGAGACTGCCATAGGTCCAGACAACAGGCCCGCCGATTTGACACATTGAACTCTATCTGAGAAGTAGTTGGTGAACCAGGCGAGGCAGTCATTTGAGAAACCAAGGCTATTTAGTCTGCCAATAAGAATGCAGTGATTGACAGAGTCGAAAGCCTTGGCCAGGTCGATGAAGACGGCTGCACAATACTGTCTATTATCGATCGCGGTTATAATATTGTTTAGGACCTTGAGCGTGGCATGGGCAAGTTGCAGTGGAGGGTGCAGAGCTGGTGGCCGGGGTAGTGGTAGCCGGGTGGAAAGCATGTCCAGCCGTAGCAAAATGCTTGTTGAAATTCTCGATTATTGTAGATTTATCGGTGGTGATAGTGTTTCCTAGCCTCAGTGCAGTGGGAAGCTGGGAGGAAGTGCTCTTATTCTCCATGGACTTTACAGTGTCCCAAAACTTTTTGGAGTTAGTGCTACAGGATGTACATTTCTGTTTGAAAAAGTTAGCCTTTGCTTTCCTAACTGCTTGTGTATATTGGTTCCTAACTTCCCTGAAAAGTTGCATATCGCAGGGGCTATTTGATGCTAATGCAGTACGCCACAGGATGTTTTTGTGCTGGTCAAGGGCAGTCAAGTCTGAGGAGAACCAGGGGCTATATCTGTTCTTAGTTCTGTATTTTTTGAATGGGGCATGTTTATTTAGGATTGAGAGGAAATTACTTTTAAAGAACAACCAGGCATCCTCTACTGACGGAATGAGATCGATATCCATCCAGGATACCTGGACAAGGTCAATTAGGAAGGCCTGCTCGCTAAAGTGTTTTAGGGAGCGTTTGACAGTGATGAGTGGTGGTCGTTTGACCGCGGACCCGTTACGGACGCAGGCAATAAGGCAGTGATCGCTGAGATCCTGGTTGAAGACAGCGGAGGTGTATTTAGAGGGTAAGTTAGTCAGGATGATATCTATGAGGGTACCCATGTTTACGGATTTAGGGTTGTACCTGGTAGGTTCGTTGATCATTTGTGTGAGATTGAGGGCATCTAGTTTGGATTGTAGGATGGCCGGGGTGTTAAGCATATCCCAATTTAGGTCACCAAGCAGTACGAACTCTGAGGATAAATGGGGGGCAATCAATTCACATATGGTATCCAGGGCACAGCTGGGGAATGAGGGGGGTATGTAGCAAGTGGCAACAGTGAGAGACTTATTTCTGGAAAGGTGGATTTTTAGAAGTAGAAGCTCAAACTGTTTGGGCACAGACCTGGATAGTATGATAGAGCTCTGCAGGCTATCTCTACAGTAGATTGCAACTCCACCCCCTTTGGCAGTTCTATCTAGACGGAAAATGTTATAGTTGGGGATGGACATTTCAGAATTTTTGGTGGCCTTCCTAAGCCAGGATTCAGACACTGCTAGAACATCAGGGTTGGCGGAGTGTGCTAACGCAGTGAATAACTCAAACTTAGGAAGGAGGCTTCTGATATTTACGTGCAGAAAACCAAGGCTTTTACGGTTCAGAAGTCAACAAATGATAGCTCCTGGGGAGTAGGATTGATACTGGGGGCTGCAGGGCCTGGGTTAGCCTCTACATCACCAGAGGAACAGAGGAGGAGTAGAATAAGGATACGACTAAAGGCTTTAAGAACTGGTCTTCTAGTGCGTTGGGTACAGAGAATAAAGGGGGCAGATTTCCGGGCGTTGTAGAAAAGACTCAGGGCATTATGTACAGAAAAGGATATGGAAGGATATGAGTACAGTTGAGGTAAACCTAAGCGTTGGGTAACAATGAAAGAGATAGCATCACTGGAGGCACCGATTGAGACGGTCTCGGCGTGTATGGGGGGTGGAACAAAGGAACTATTTGAGGCAGTTTGAGAGGGACTTGGAGCATAATGTTTCCACCTCCATGTTTGACAGTGGGGATGGTGTTCTTGGGGTCATAGGCAGCGTTCCTCCTCCTCCAAACACGGCGAGTTGAATTGATGCCAAAGAGCTCAATTTTGGTCTCATCTGACCACAACACTTTCACCCAGTTCTCCTCTGAATCATTCAGATGTTCATTGGCAAACTTCAGACTGCCCTGTATATGTGCTTTCTTGAGCAGGGGGACCTTGCGGGCGCTGCAGGATTTCAGTCCTTCACGGCGTAGTGTGTTATCAATTGTTTTCTTGGTGACTATGGTCCCAGCTGCCTTGAGATCATTGACAAGATACTCCCGTGTAGTTCTGGGCTGATTCCTCACCGTTCTCATGATCATTGCAACTCCACGAGGTGAGATCTTGCATGGAGCTCCAGGCCGAGGGAGATTGACAGTTCTTTTGTGTTTCTTCCATTTGCGGATAATCGCACCAACTGTTGTCACCTTCTCACCAAGCTGCTTGGCGATGATCTTGTAGCCCATTCCAGCCTTGTGTAGGTCTACAATCTTGTCCCTGACAACCTTGGAGAGCTCTTTGGTCTTAGCCATGGTGGAGAGTTTGGAATCTGATTGATTGATTGCTTCTGTGGACAGGTGTCTTTTATACAGGTAACAAGCTGAAATTAGGAGCACTCCCTTTAAGAGTGTACTCCTAATCTCAGCTCGTTACCTGTATAAAAGACACCTGGGAGCCAGAAATCTTTCTGAATGAGAGGGGGTCAAATACTTATTTCCCTCATTACAATGCAAATCAATTTATAACATTATTTTTTTCTGGATTTGTTTGTCGTTATTCTGTCTCTCACTGTTCAAATAAACCTACCATAAAAATTACAGACTGATCATTACTTTGTCAGTGGGCAAACGTACAAAATCAGCAAGGGATCAAATACTTTTTTCCCTCACTGTACTTATTTAAATATTTTTACAGACTTCATCATTGGCATTGTACAAGATGAAAAAGATTACATTACACAACAGAACACTTCAATTGGAATTACATTCTCAGTAATGGTTGCACAAAAATAACTTGTCACCTTAGAACTACAAGGTTCTAGCTGAAAAAATTCTGAACCCTCTTTGGTTTGAATGGTGTCAGCAATTTTTATATTGTATAATTTTGTTACTAAACAACATGAATTCGGGTATTTGCAAACCACGTCCCCAAATATTTGAATGAGCCCACGCCTCTACATTATGAAGTAGCTGGGCTTGTTGTGGGCTAGCCTGTGCTAGGCTTGGTGCGGGCTAGCCTGTGCTGGGCTTGGTGCGGGCTAGCCCATGCTGGGTTAGACGGTGTTGGGCTGATCTGACCCATGGGGCGGCGCACAATTGGCCCAGCGTCGTCCAGGGTAGGGGAGGGAATGGCCGGCAGGGATGTAGCTCAGTTGGTAGAGCATGGCGTTTGCAACGCCAGGGTTGTGGGTTTGATTCCCACGGGGGGCCAGTATGAAAAAAATAAATAAATATGTATGCACTCACTAACTGTAAGTCGCTCTGGATAAGAGCGTCTGCTAAATGACTAAAATGTAAATGTAAATGTGGGATTGCTCTGGGCTAGCCTGTGCTGGGCTAACCCGAGTTTGGCTGGTGTGGGCTTGGTGTGTACATTTGTGGGCTAACCCTTGCCCACCTTCCCCACCAAATACCCACATGGGGTCATGTTTACTGGGATACGATATCACGACTGGATCATAGTCACATAAGGATTTTATTACACCGTTTGGTTTTCCAGAGTGTGTCTCACCTCTTTGCCGATGTCCAGGTCGTAGTGGTCAGGTACCATCTGTAACCGTCTGAGGCGAGCAATCTCCTCCCGGGGTGACTCCTGCACCCCCTCGCCCCGTACTGCAGCCTCCAGGTCCTTGATGTCCACCTCATGGGCCGTTAGCCTCCGCTTCACCTGGACACGCACAGAGATAACTAATCGGGAAAGAGACTGGGAGGCCGGACCAAAGGCTCAGCCAATCAACAAGGCCAGGAGAGACAGCCAAGGAGACAGAAGTAGAGGTCTTCATGGGTCCACCCGAACCCGAATACCCGAAACCCGACCCGGGACCCGAGCAGGTCGGGGTCCAAAATTCTAACTTTTCCCTCAGGTCTGGGTCGGATCCTGTTTGATTGTCATCGGGTCTCGGGTCTATGTAACTACAGCTGATAGACCCGAGTGGAACTGAATGGACCCGACCACAGCTCTGCATAGCCTATTGCATATTTAAGTGAATTGATTGACCTTTAGAAGGCCTAGCCAACATATAAAGACCTATTCATTAATCAAAAGAGCAAATTGGCTAATAAACATTATTTTCTTGTCACTCAGGTCTACGTCTGGTTGTCGTCGGGTCCATTCAGGTTCGGGTCTGATTGTTCTCGGGTCTGTTCGGGTCCAGATTCCCCTTTTTTTTTAAATGATCGTGTCCGGGTCTGAATTGTCCTCGGGTCCAGGTCAAATTTTCTGGACCCGAGAAAACCTCTAGCCAGAACAATATATTGGATCCTCCTCAAGTTACAATTCAACGTGCAGTACATATTCTTGGTGGCTGGCTATCAATGTATATGTACATGTAAATAGTTATGAGAGCCTACCACTCTGTAGTTGGTGCCTGCCTGGCTACCCAGGTTCAGGCTGCGTCTCTTGTCCCTGACAGAGCTGCTCTGGTTCCTACGGATACGCTCGTTCTGCTCCTCAATGCTCATCTTGGACTTGACCTCCGCAGGGAACACTGCACTCTTCGGACGCTCCTGTGACATGGGAATGACACGGGAATACGATAAACCATCAAATGTCTTGATCTTTAAAGGATAAATCTGATTGCACCCATCAATATCCCAGACGTAGGCCCACAACATAAATGCAACATCAATCAGTAACACTATCATAATATAGTTACAATACATAATGTCTATGGATCATATCACATCATGCACATAGCATGTAAGCTTCCTGAGTTCCATAATGCCCTCTCCGACATGTTGCCTACCCTGGAGATTCCATTGGGCACCTTGCCGTTGCGTCGGGTGATTCCATGGTCGTAGGAGTGGCACTGGTCTTCCATGGGAGACTTAGTTCTGGGAGGAACAATCCCCACTGGTCAGGGGACAGACAAACAGCACTTCAGAGGATGACACATGATGCGTCCCAACTGGCACCCTATTCCCCATATAGTCTCTGGTCAAAAGTAGTGCACTACGTAGGGAATAGGGTGACATTTGGGACACAAAACACAGAGGATGAGTCATGGGGGCTATAATCCAATCTATTATTCTGTAAACGATTGACTTTTATAAGATACAGCTAGTCATGAGGACCATATTAGTAATCTAATTGTATTGTTTTCGATTATGATGTAATTTGACCTGTTATTAGATTTGTCTTGACATTTGAACAGGATTTCATTCCAACGGGGAGACTAGGTTTAGTGTTATCGAACAGTTTGGGATTAGGTCAGAAATATATTTGGGAAATAAGTCATAGTAATAGCAATAAAAAAAAACTCACAGTAGCTCCAGTACAGGTTTAGTGAACTGAGATAGAACTCCCCTTTTCGGCGCCATAGAGATTGTATAACTCTGCTACTTTACATGCAAGGTAGCGTTACATTTTTACCCACACAGGCCTCAAGCAGTAGACTACAATGTATTCATCATTGCTGTCTATGCAGACTGACAAACCAGAACTTCATTACCCAGGCTCCATTGCTTCCTGTACCTTTATTCATGTTAGCCTGCCGATCCTGATCCAGCTCCTGAGCTTCGTTGCTATTGGTCCGTTCTCCCAGCGACACGTCCTGTCGGTAACCATACTTTTGCTGCAACACAGAGCACGAGGAGGAGCTAATGAATCATCAAAAGTAAGAGATTTACACACCAGGAGAGTGTTGGCACTATTCAGGCAATAGCATCATACCCAGCTACGCAGGTAGCTATTAGCCATATGGTTACCCAAACACAGAATGCATTAGATAATATGCATTAGTGTGGATAGCAATGATGGGGTTATTGCCAGATATAGTGGCAGATTCATTAAATGGTTCAATGGTTGGAAGTAGATCTGGCATAAGCGGAAGCGTACAGTCTACACACTACAGCACAGACAGAGCACTAGCACAGGGACTAGCACAATCACATCACTACCACATCACTACACCAACTGGCACACAGACAACATGGTAAAGGAACCACTAGCTGTGGATGGATCCAGACCTCCACTCACAACCTTAGCATTCCTATGGGAACCTGCAACTCGCCCTTAGCTAAGCCTTAGCATTCAAAAGCACCCAGTACACTAGACTGATTTGTTAGATTATATTTAAAATACTGCATTTTGTTTGTACTTTTTGTTTGATATTGTTGCTTTAGAACTTGTTTGATTGATTACTGGTCAACTAATGAATATATTGTTAGCCACACATGTGCTGTTAAATGCATGAAGAGTTTGCAGTATCAACCACAGAAAGTGATTGATTGACAGCTGTTGTCCAATGTGTAAGAGCAGACTAAGGTGAGACCAGAGTCACAGAGGAGAATAATCACTTCTAGTGCTGGTGCTTTTGGAGAGCTGATACAGGCCGAGATGGAGAGAGAGAGAAAGAAGGACGAGAAGCTGGAATAGGAGCCATGAGTAGTGAAGCACTAGAACAGATGGAGAGGTGTGAGAGTGTGTATGGTGGAGGGATGGGGTGATGGTGAGGCGGGTGATGGGGAATGAGAGAGCTTTGGAGCTCTGTTGTTTAGGGGTCCGGGAGTGTTTTGGGGAGGACAGCGATGGCTTCTATGACAGGTAACAACTGCGCTTGAGGTAAAAGATGCCTTTAACCACAGATCTAGGATCAGTTTATTCTACCGCTTATCCTTACTTTACCCAGTAGGGGGATGAAAATAAATCTGTCCCTGAATCAGTGGTTATGGACATATACCTGCTTGGGGGCGTGACCAGGGGGCGTGGCCGGGGACATGGCAGGGACGGTAACTCCCTCCCTCCCACCGTCACCAAATACCTTTCTGCCGTGGGACTCTTCGTCGTCAAGGTAACCGTCATCCAGGCCCAGGCTGCGTAGCCAGGCGGAGCTGTCGAAGGGCAGAGGGGGGACGGAGGGGGGTGACTCCAGGGGGCAGTAGGATTTGGGAAGTGGTGGCCGTGGCGGGCCAATGTCCTACAGCCACGAGAAGGAGGGAGGGAGGAGGAGAGGAAGAGAGGGAAGGAAGGAAGAATGGAGGAGGAAGGGAGGAGGAGGAAGAGAGAGCGCTGTGCATCAGGAGGAGTGACAAAAGCCAGGCGGAGTGCAGAGCAGAGAGGATTATGGGACGATTTGAGGAATGGAGCCCTGACCCCAAGAACTTCAGGGGTGAAGGGTCACAGGCGTCCAATGAGATGCCTGGACTGAGAGCTAGCATGAACGCACACACTGATGCATTCTAAATCAGATTAGTAGTACTGATACAGACCACTGATTGCTGCTGAATAGGAAAAACAAGATAGAAAGTAGCACCACCATTTTGAATGAGTACAGACACTGTAATCAGTTACAGTCATTACGCAACACAAATGATACGTAGGATTATATGATTCACAAAATCAACTGTTATTTTCTGCTCTTTCTGCACTATAATTCAAATTTCAGCATAGCGTCATTATGAACTCCATTCCCAACAGAGAGAGAGAGAGAGAGAGAGTTGGCTGAGAGTCAGGGTTTTATACTAAAACAGGAGTATCCAACCCCAGTGCCAGAGCGCCTCAGTATCTTCTGAACTACATCCCTCTCTTTTAATCAATCAGCTGATAAGGACCTGGGAAACCCGCTGAGGTGATATCTTGGCCTGTCATATTCCTTGATATCAAATAATGGATCTATTGATTGATTAAGCACCATAGAGGAAAGAAGAACAGCAGACACTGAAGGACTGGAGTTGGGAGGAGGAGCACCAGAGAAGCTATACGGAGCTAAACTTTTGTAAGCTGTTACTACAGTATAGGTCAGAAGGACTACATCACATGGCCATCCAACCACAGATATGATGGATGAAAACACAACTTCCTGATTGGTCAGTGGTGCGGAACTGAACGGACCGTCTGCCTGTATCCTACAGACCTACACCACTCAGTGCCATGTTCCACATAGTGAGTGACGCCATGAAGAAACAGGTGAATATTAGCCACATTTCTAATCCACCTCCCAATTATGTTTCTATAAATAATTTACAGGCGTGTCTGCTTTCCAATATTCGTTAAAGTCATCTCCATAATGGCTTCTGACAGTGCTAGCTGGTTTGCCGTAGAATGTGTGTCTGTGTAGTTGGCCGGGGATTACGCAGCACACTTTAAATAACCTGTCATCCTAACTGCCTCTAACTGAATCTTAGCAAAGTGGATCAGGAGATATGTGAAGGCTGTCTGTTGGCCGGTGGACACACATACCGCTAGTCTGGATGTCCTAACCAGGTCATGCTTTTTAGATTAGAGATCAAAGGAAAATGTGTGCGTGCACCCTGATCAATAACAGCGCTACACAAACTTCAGAGCTATTTATTTTTTACATCACTTTTATCTCACATTTTCTGGCAGTGGAAGAGGTCATTGATGTTGAAATGGCACTATATATAATTATTTAACGACATGTTATGCAGGTTGAGAACTCCTGGGAATGTCCTTCAGTGAGGATTCCCTGAGCCTGCTGGACACGGACCTTTAACTTTATTAACCACTGACTAGGACCATTAGTCACCTTCAGCCTTATACTTTACCTCAGAAAGCATAACACATTCTGTTTCAAACCTCTAGCTTTGCTTGTTACTATTGGCAATACACAGTAATATAAGCTGCATCATCATAACACAGTGCAACATCATATTATAACTGTTGTTGTATCAAGTCTGTCTGGTGTGGGCTACAACTGCTGCAGTTGTGGTACAGTACAGTCCACCAGGTCTTCCCGTACACTTTGACCTAAGGCCTGTTGTTTGGATGGGTGTGTGGTGGTAACAGGGTGTGGGGTGTAGGGTAACTACCATCGCTAACATCTAGCTGGTTGTTGGGGAAGGTGAGTGGGCGAGTGCGGGTACGGGTACGTGAGCGGGATCGTTCTTGGGATTGTTCTTGGGACTGAGTGGCTAAGTAGAGGACCCGGTACTGTGTTTCAGTACTGAGAACCCTGGACCTGGGGCGAGGTGTTAGGGAGTGTTTATGTGGATCTGGACAATGGCTATAGGCTTGATGGCTAACCAGACAGGAGTTTTGGCGGGACAATGAGTACTGGGTCTCAGGGACAGTCAGGTGGGTGCGCTGAGGTGGATACCTGAGGAAGACAGGGTCGCTAGCTCGGTAGGAAGGTGGGTCTGGGATAACATCTTTCCTGTAGCCAATGGCTTGCTGTTCTGGCTGAGGGGAAAGCTCATTGGCTAGCTGGGTGTGTTGGTGGCTGGGGTTACTGCCTGTAGGTGCTTGCTGATTGGTCAGTTTGGCAGGGTGGGTGGGTGAGTGGGTAAAGCTATGGCTGTCTACTCGGAGGAGTGGAAATCCAGCGCTGGCTCTGTGGCTGTATGGCTCTGGATGTGTACTGTCCATATTGTCAGGCTGGTTGACTTGGCTGGTGCTGGGGGTGGGGTTGGTGTTTGGTTGGGTGTCTTCAGTGTCTCTAAGGTCATGCTGGTTGGCTTGGGAGGTGTACGGTTGTGCATGTTGCTGGGTGTCTGTACTCTCTACAGGGGCAAGCTGGTTGGCTTGGCTAGTGCAAGTGTGGGAGTTTGGCTCTGGACCAGGGTGGACATTTGGTTCAAGACCAGGGTGCCTACTTGGCTCAGGACTTAGTTGGGTTTTAAGTAGGGGGATTTCAGTAGGGGTAGGGGATTTCAGTTTAGGAAGAGACTGGGTGGCTAAGTACAGGATTTGGTACTGTGTTTCAGGACTGGGGGCCCTGTACTGGGTGTGAGGTAAGGAGTGTATATGGGTGTCTTTGGTGTTTGGATCAGGACCAAGGTGGATGATAGGTTGAGGACCCGGGTGGGTTATTGGCTTAGAAACTGGTTTATTTGGATCAGCACCTAGTTGGGTGTTGGATTCAGGATCTAGTTGGAAAATTTGATCTGGTTGGGTGTTAGGTTGAGGACCCAGGTGGAGACCCAGGTGGGTATTTGGGTGGTTGCGTGGGTGGTAGGAAGGGCCAGTGCTTACCTCCGGACCCAGCTGTTTGGTGGGGGAGGCCTGGGAGCCAGGCACTGGGGAGAAGGGGCTGAGTGGACTGGTGAGGCTTACTGAACTCAAGGGACTGGCAGGACTATTGGTGCTAAAGGAACCTGATGCCCCACTGGCCACTGTGGGAGAGAGGGAAAAGGGAGATGGGGGACATGAGAGAAGAGGAGAGGAAAGAGAATTGCATAAACAAAAAAAGAGAGGAGAGATTGATAAAAAAAAGAGAGAGAAGGGAGTGAAATATGCATGCAGCATACTGTTCATCCATATACTCATATTTATTACTTCTTTTGAATATCATCTACTGTGTCTAAAAGGGGTTTTTAAAAAATAATGTACATTTCAGACAGATTGAAAAAAAAACATCAGAGGTGTTGTGTTGGGGTGGCAATGACTATATGTGTGTAAGACTGTACTGTATGTTATGTTGTTGTGAGGTGCAGGCGTACCCCTGTGTTTGGCTGTGTCTGTGCCTCTGGAAAGGTTGCTCTTGTGGAGTCCCTCCCACACATCCTGAACTCTCCAGAACTCCTTCTGAATGTGTCTATGGACCATCTCACTCTGACCGAGGAGAGTAGGGGTGGAGGACAAGAGAGAATGGAGAGAAGACGAGGGAAGGAAAGGTGATACGAGAAGGATAGAGGAGAGAAAAATGTTAGAGAATAATATTTTAAGTATAATACTGAATAATAACTTGTTAATAACTTGTTTTTGTTATTATCAAGTCTTCTGTTAGAAAATAAGTTAGTGAGTGATGCAGGAGCAGTTACAGTAGGTGGCTCAGTTAAAAGACCAGAGGTGGTGTGAGAGAGTGACACCAGGTAGCATTATTGTCTTAGAAAACAACAGGGTTGCATTGATCAGTGCACACCGTAGCAAAACGTAGAAAAACATTTCGCAACAGAAAATGAAAGCATGCGTTTTTATTGGACAAGTTCAGGTACTCTCTCCCAGTTTTGGCCCGTTTGCTTCCATTTCGTTCCTAGTGAATACGACTGTGTTAGTGAGTGGGTCACAGACACTGCACTCTTATGGACAGTCTCTTCACAGTTCACCACCATGAGCCAGGTTATATTCCATGGAAAGGAGGGACACTCAGGTGTTTAATGGGGCACGTTGACTACACGATGATAAATAGGACATTATGAAAATTCATAATTGTCTTAATTTATTATAGATGAGGGATTCATATACTGTTTAAATTATTGATTAGAAGGAAGGTTTCCACTCAGCTATTAGCAACCTAGGATAACACTATGGTAACTGGAAAACAGCCAAAGAAAAGCCCTAGAAACTCTAGAATGGAACCATGCAGGTGGGTTTATGAGCAGGTGAGATTATAGGATCAGATGCATTCTAGTCGTTTCATTTCTAGGCTTCAAATTCAGTGTTCAATTGGTGACTGGTTAAAAACACTTTTTTCTTCTTCTTTGTAAGCCACAAGAAAACTTCAGAAGATTTAGGTGGGTCACAGAAAAGATGGCCAGTGTAGGGTCCTGATGAAGAGAGGGTGTCCGTGTACCTGCCCGCCTGCGTTGAGCTGCTCCCACAGGTCCCCATGGATAGCGTTGACCTCGTCCTCCAGAGCTTCAAACTCCATCCGAGTGGTGGTCAGAGCCTGGGGACAGCAGGGGATAGAACACACACTCAGGACCTGGAACTATGAACACTATCAAGGTTTTTCCTAGATCAAAAAGGGGCTTAGTTGGTGGGCACAAGCGTTTTTTCCTAAGCATGAAAAACCCTGACTGTATGTTGAATCCATTGACTATACAGTATCTATCACACTGGAGTAGGAGAGTTGTCATCTGATGGTGATCAGATGTTATAGATTACAAATAGATGATCAAATTTTAGATTTAGAGATATTGGTTATCCTCCATATCTCTTACACAGGATACGTTGAAGGGATCTCCTTGATTTACTTATATAATTGAGATTATATATAATGGGATCACTGTGGATTATCATGGATTGTTATAATCTCCTGTATGTGTCTTACGCTGGATGCCTGGGAGAGTTCTCCTCTGATATTGATGAGCTGGTTCTGCAGTGTCTCCTTCTTCAGCTGTAGTTTGTCTGCAGCCAGCGGCTGATCCCGGTACAGCTCCATCTCCTGATGTGTGGCCACCAGCGCTCCCTCTAGGCTGTCCTGGGAACAGCAGGTAACAGGGGACATGTCAGGCAATGGTTGGGGAGTAGGGTGAAGTTGCCCTTAGACGCTGACCTTGGGTCAGTTTTGCATTCTCACTTGATAATGGTTAAGGTTAGGATAGGGGGAGGGGAAGCTGATCCTAAGTCTTTACCTAGGGGAAACTTCACCCCGGCGCGTACTTTTATGTTTACTTTCTTTAGCAGCTTTGTATTTCGTACAGTACCTTGTCCATTCTCAGCCTGTGAACCACTGCCTCCTGGTCCTTTAGAATCCTGTTTTGCTCACACAGACGACCCAAGAGTTTCTAACAGAGGAGAAAGCGAGCGAGAGAGAGAGAGAGAGAGAGAGAGAGAGAGTGTGTTTGCAGGGGAGAGGATGGTGACTGAAGGTTGATTGTTTAGGAGGGGAGGAGTGAGGTTGTTTATGGGATGGTTAGATGGAGGGATGTGGCCTTACGCTGGTCTCAATCTCATTGAGTTTCAGTGTGGGGTGAAGATCCCTGTATGGGTCATGGAACGGAGGCACCTGGAAAAACAGAGGCAGGACTCATTCTTAATACTAACATTATATCAACCAGAACCCTATTCAAACAAATCCTTCATAGACCAAGGGTTTGTAGAACAACTCACAGCCAGAGTGAGCCATTGGAATGGCCCAGATCCATGCGGCTGTAAACAACACTTTATCAATAGCGTAGAACCAAACAGAATAAGTGTAAAAACATCATACCATGTGCATAGTACATACTGTACATAGAACATCACTACTACACAGGACAATACATATTGCATCAATATTAATACTGATATACTGGACAAATAAGATCATAATAATAACAAAACAATAACTTTAAAAAAGCATATATAAATCTGTGTTGTTTACAGTATCGAGCAGTAAGAGCCAACAGGATGAGCTGGAATGCCAAACCCCTCTGTCAAAAGGTCAAAGGTCATATCCAGGTTGTCCATGTCCTTATGGAGCACTGTGATTGGATAGTATGTGAAGGAGGATATGACATCACAGTGAAGAGAGATGGGTACGCCGAAGAGGGGCGGTTGTTGTGAAGTAACAAGACACAATAAGACTACAGCACAAGACAGGATATGATACAGAACACAGATGGGATGACAAAGGAACATAACAAAGACACATAAAACACTGCATGGTGAAGCAAAATGGAGAACTAAAATCGCCATCGAATTGGTTGGACAAAGAAACCGAAAGCTAGAAGAGAGCCTAGCTTCTAACATCCACATGCTAGAGTAGGGTACTGGAGAGAGGAGAGAGAGGCAGGCTTGGGCTGGGCTGGGCCGTGTAGATCTTTGGGGAGACTGTGGAGTGGGGGGGGAATCCTTCACCTTGATTCTGTCTAGACAACAGCTGAACCTCCTAGCCTAAATCACTAGTGACTAGAAAAGCCCTGAAGAGGGCAGTAGTTGACCTCTGTGGAAAGAGAGACCTTGCACAAGCTTAGTTACACTCTGAAAGCAGAAACCCTGTGGCTACAATCTGTGCTATAATGGTCCAGGCATCTTGGAAAAGCATTAGTAGACATTTACTGGTCTTATTACATAGATACATGTGTCTTATTATTAGTATTAGAGGAGGGGGATAGTGTGAGGGTATTGGAGTCTTTGTGGAGCAGTGTTTTACAAATACTGGGTTGGAACTGCCTTCCTTTGGGTATGGTGTATGACTGGGTCATGGTTAGAAACATAATTTTTACTTGGTTACTTATATGAAAAGTTCAAAGGCTTTAGGTGGAAAATCATTTGGAAAACCATTGTTTGTGGGGGGCTGTGGGTCTAGCTGAAGCCTGTCTCTCTGGGACACTCTCTCCTCTCTTACTTGTGCGAAGAGCTTTGCTCTAGGGGAGGATCGCTCCACCATTCTGGTTACCGTGCCGATAAGGTGATCTCTGCCGGTCACCTGGGGCGAAACACACTGCCCATCATTCTTCTGGTTGCCACAGTAATGACAGGAGCCTGACGTCTAGCAGTAACAATCCCTGACTAGTATTTGAAAAAAAAATCTTACTTACATTTGAGAATGAAATCGGATACATCAAAGAGGCACATTTCTGTTTGTGTAAAATGTTCAACAAAGAGTTCCAGTACTGTGGTAGAGTGATCTGAAGTAGTGTGTATACTGGATCACTATGGACTGGTCATTATCATAAGGTGTAAGCAGTCAGTGACAGTGAGACAGGGGAGAGAAGGTAAGACAGTGGGAGTGAATGTGGACTGTGTTTGTGAGAAACAGGTGTTTAGCAGGTGGTAGAGTTGACAACATGGACAATCTTCCACATGACAATGTGGTAAACCTCACACAAATTCTGTCACCAACACTATGGGATGGGGTTTAACATAACCAACAGTTTATGGATGATCCGAATGTCACTCTTCTCATTTTCTCACGACTTCTTCTCTGTCGTCAGTAGTTCCTAAGCTTCCCCACTGGGCACAAACTGGTTGAATCAACGAAATGTGTGACGTAGAATGTATAAAACGATTGGTGTGTGAGTGTTCCTGTGCAGGGGTAGAGGTGTGTCCAGAGATGCCTACGGTACGTACCTGTTGATCGAGGTACTCCAGATTTCTCTGGAGCTGCAGGTCTAAAATGTCCTCCTAATAGAGCAGCATAAGCAGCAACAGTGACAAGGACAAGGACAGTGCAAGACCCAGTACCAGAGACACCAGTGAAACCAGTAGCAGCAGCATCAGTGGCACCAGCAGACGCAGTGACAGACAGAGAGAGTGTAAGGAGAGAGAGAGAGTGTGTGTGTAGAAAGAAAGAGAGAGTTAAAGAGCCAGAAATAAAGAGAGAGACAAAAAGAGGGAGAGAGAGAGTGACAGAGAAAGAAAGAAAAAGAGACAGTGAGATAGTGGAGACAGGGAGGACAGACATAAGAACTCAAACCAGATACAACAGGAAAGCACAGCTATAGCATACCTTTAGATGCTGGTTAAACTTTAAGCAGAGGTAGCTGTCGAGGACCTTACCCCCGCTAAGCGAGTGTAGGTGTGTGAAAGTGTGTGTGAGTGCTATAGTCAAGTGTCTCCCAAACTTGACATTGGACTCGTTGGTCTGTATCTCTTGACAGTGTAACATGATGTGGGAAGACGTACCATTTTGCTGTGTAGAGAGGGGGAGGCAGGGTAGTTGTAGTGGTACATTCCTTGGCTTAGCGACCTCCTGTCTCCAGAGTAATCATACTGAAATAAGATAAATAACCAGGATGTTCTTGGATCACTGTGATTTTGGCCTAGCAACACAAACAAAAATCTTCAATCTTAACGGCTGACTCCTGACTGAAACACACACACAAATACCCACACACCCTCTCCCCTCTCTCACCTTGGGAGAACTCAGTGATCTCCTCAGTCCATACACCGAGGGGTCGGCGTAGATCACATCCTCCCGTAGCCTGCCTGGTCCTCTGTCAAACCGGGCTGAGGGCGAGCAGACAGGTGAGGCAAAGCTATGGGGGCTGGGAGAGTAGGGACCACCCGTGGACGAGGAAGGGGACCTGGGAACGGACCTAGACCTAGGCTGGATGGACAGACGCCTCATGGAGGTCTGGGCTGCATCCATCTGGCCGTAATAGGCAGGGCCGGGTGGGGGGCCGTATGGGTCTCGGGGGGGCGGGGGTCCGTAGAAGGGGGGTCCGTCCAGCAGTGAGCGTCTCTTCTCCTCGTTGGTCCAGCGAGGGGGGCCCAGGCGGTCGTAGCCCACGGCTGACACGGAGCAGATGCTGTCAGGGCGTACGCCCGGAGGGTAGAGGGGGTACTCCTCCACATAGCCCGGACCGCCCCCCACGCTACTGTAGACGCTGTAGTAGTCATCTGGTACGCCACGGTTCACTGTATAATATTGAGATGGACTGGGGGAAGAGAGCGAGAGAGAGATGGTTGAAGGGAAAACATGTAGTTGTAGACACAAAAATACATAAAAGTCTTTGCTCCTCTCACCTTCGCTCTACCACTCCCTTAATCTCACCTTCTCTTACTCATCCTCTCTCCCATCCTTTCCCCTCTCTCTCTCTCTCTCTCTCTCTCTCTCTCTCTCTCTCTCTCTCTCTCTCTCTCTCTCTCTCTCTCCATCCCACTCTCTCTCTCACACTCTCTCCCATACCCCTCTCTTTTTCTCTCTCTACCTCTGTCTCTCTCACCTGATCAAGTCCTCCTGTACAGCCATGACTCTGCGCTGGTTGACCCACTGCTGTAGCTGGGTCATGGAGCTTTTCCTCTGGGCCTGTCTCTCAGGGTTCGTCCGTGGCACAAAGCCCCGTCTCAGCACCACGTTCTCAGGCTGCTCCCTCACCTCCCTCCCCTCTCGCGTCCCTCCCTTTGGAGGTCCCTGGGGCGGCCACCCTTTACCCTGGGGTGGTCTGTTTCCATGGTGTGGGGGCCCGTTTGGGGGGCCGTAGGGGCCCCACCCATTGGGCTGGTGATAGGGTGCACCCCCAGGTCCAAGTACTCCTCTCTCCCCCCTCTCCCCTCTCTCTCCCCCCATCCTCCCCTCCTTCTCTGAGTGGCTGGTGGAGGGAGGGGGAGTTTCCATGGCATTGACCCCGTTGACCTTGTGATGTGCAGGTTCTCGTGGTCCGCGCACGGGGTCTAGGAGGTCAGTCGTCTGGCCGTTGTCCTCGATGTGTGTGTGTGTCTGGGTGTGTGGTTCAGGTCCTTTGGTTACCAAGGTGTTACCATGGAGTTCTGCTGTGGGCGTGGTGGCCTCGGAGTTGGTGGTCCTGTGGGGAAGGGACAGAGTTAGAAAGTGTGTGTGTGTGCGTACATGCATGCGTGCGTGAGTGCGTGTGTGTGTGCTTACCTCTGTGTAGGCTGTATCTGGACGTGTGCAGCCTCGTTCATAGCATCGACCCACTCCTCCTGTTCCTCAGCAGTCTCAGCGCTGAAGTAGTACGTGCGTGTTCCTGCGTGTTCAGCCTGCATACAGAACACAATTGGGCCCTTAATCTCACCTTCCTCCTCTTCCTCGTACCAAACCTGGAACAGACAGAGAGGAGATACAGCGTTAGCCTTCCTCACGTGAAACATCACCATCAGCAGCAGCATCATCACACACGTTCATGCATTTGAAGCAAAAAATACGCACACAGGTCTCAAACACATGCATATAAAAAGCATGTATTTTAATGTTGCATTGAATAATTGTCAATGGCCAACAAACCTTTCATACACAGCATGACTAGTATAGTGGAGTATGATGAAACAGCTGTATTTGGTTTCTATTATAAGCAAATACTGCACAAACTGTTTCATTGACTGATGTATTATTGGTGAGTTAGAGCATGCAAACCACAGCCAGTTTAGAGCAGACAGAAAATAGCCCAGGTTAGTGGTGAATATCCAGCCTTTAGAATGGCACCGCAGCAGTCAAGGATGGTCATATCAATGAAGCCATTTAGAACTCAGTCAATGGCTGTGTTTGAAAATATCAAATCCGTAATGCATTGTGGGTAAATTGTGACTCACTGATCTACAAGTAATAAGAAGTTGTTATTTATGATGCAAGGTGATTTGTAGATTGGTCAATCGCGCCTTGCCTACAATGCTGGCTGCAATGTCGAACAAGCCCATTAACATGCAGTTTAAAAACAGTCACTGCATCCACAGACGCTTGACAGTAAAACCAACAAGGTGAATCCAGGTTCTCACTCTGTAACAGTTAGAGACAAACACCATGCAGTGAGCAGAGGAACCATGCGGTTGGGAGGAGGTGAAGAAAAAGGGGGAATGAAGGGGGAATAAAGGGGGAATACTACCTACATGAAACAAGATCATCTGGGGAACTCTACACACGCACAATGGAGGACAGCTATGCTCAGGGGTCCTCACAGGTTGGGGTGAGAGGGAGGAGAGGAGAGATCGGTGAGGGTCAGAGGTTATAAAGGTCAAAGTTCAGAGGTCAGAGCACATTGATTGGTGGGGTACCCAGAGGGTAAAGGTAGGCAAGGGGATGGGTGAGGATCCTAGACAGAGGTAAGGGTGCAGTAAGACCTACAGTATATGTCTTATATTTCTGTGAAACTCAAGGACCCACAAATACCCTGCAAGGACTGGTATCCTGAAAGAAATACTGGTTAATAATAATACATTCATGTCCTTTCTCTTTCCTGGTGCCACTGTGCTTGGTTAGCTAGCTCACAGGTCATTCTAAGCTACACAACATCAACATGTAAAGGTAATGTGGGTAATACCATCATTTCTCTCATCTGCCAAATGAGGGCAGTAGAGGCATATCAGCTTCAGAGAAGTATGTAAAAGTATAACTTCATTGTGCACAATCATGTCTACAGAGAGGAATGAGACAATGATGATCTGTTACTGAGACAAGAGGGCACAGGTGTGTGGAAACAAGTGTGATGTGCAGTAAAAGGGGTGCAAGTAAGTTCAGCCATCAAACTATCTATTTCGATGCACTTTGTCCAAAACATGACGGCTAGTAGTACACATTCTGCCAGTTACATATAGACCTTGGACAGGTGTTCACTGACCCCAGTCATCTTTGACACAGTACAGATAAGGCAATAATACACACAGGAACATATTAATAGATAAAGCACTATGTCAAAGGTCCATGGTCCCTGACTACTACGGAGGTTTAAACCATGCATTTGTCACTAGGTGTTGAACAGCAACCCAAAGCCCCCAAAGACAGCAATCCAAGACAACAAAGAATAACCCTGATCAGGAAGAGTCATGAGAGAAACCCATCCTCTCCCCTGCTCTATCTTTCCCCAAGTCACACCTGACAAACTCCTCAACTAGAAACCCCTAAGTATTTGGCACGCATGTGAGTAATATTGCCTCTTAGTAGATGGTATTGGCTGGCAGCAGTCCAACATAGGGAGACAGGGAGTGCCTAACGAGGCACCATACGTAGGGAGTAGTGTGAGAACATACACAGTGGTACACAGCATACATCCTAATCAGTAGAAGGTAAAGAAAACCTAAAGCATTGATTTGCTCAATCATAGCAAATGTTGACTTAAAGGTAATTAGTCTTCCTAGTGAAAGCCCTCCTGATACCTTGTGCCTCTGTAGACGGTTAGTCAGTGGGGAGAACACAGTCAACAACGGTCAGTACAGAGAACTACTCTCTGAACGAAAGGAGATACAGTATGAGACAGAAGTATTGAGCAGTAGCAACAGCAAACTAGTGTTTGACAGAGCACAGTAGGCTTATAGACACTGTATACAGTACAGTGGCTGCCAAACTAGCTTCCATGTTGGCACCAAACACCAATCACGACAACAACATTCTCATTTGTATTCTAACTAGAATGTAGCCTAACTGTCTTGGAACTCTGAGAGTCAACATGTCGTACATTAATATTCTAAATGTAAAACCAAGTCGGCCAAGTTGTCTCTGAGGTCAGTGTTTGTCTGAGCTATAACAACCTTTTCAGCTCTCTGTCCTTCTGTCAGCACATTAGCAGTCTGCCTGTGAACAGAGCAACTCCACACCAGCCGGAAGGACTGGGAATGGGGAGGGCTGAGACACAAACACACACACGTTCACCCACACACACACTCACAAACACATTGCACACACACACACTCAACACAATCATTAAAACTGCTATTAAAAACCCAGACCAAAGGACAACAACACAATTCTAGTCCCAAGACATAGAACACTACTGGCTGTTTTAGCTTGACAGCCTGACTGACGGTTTCAGAGATGGTTTCTCTGCTATTTTATCTTTAAAACATTGTCGGAATTGTTATTGTACATCGTCAAGGTCAAAACAACAACAGGAAGAAAACAGCAAAAGAGATTTGAATCTCAAATGGATGACCTGGCTAGATAAAGTTAGCTCTATAGTCCTTTAACAAGACAAAACAACCATAAGTTCAAGTGTGTGTGTGATCTCAAACTGTTGCTCAACTCACACACCACCCCAGTGCAGTGGCAAAACCAGTCCTGCACAGACTGTGAGCCCTGTGTGTGTGTGTGTGTGTGTGTGTGTGTGTGTGTGTGTGTGAGTGTGTGTGTGTGTGTGTGTGTGTGTGTGTGTGTGTGTGTGTGTGTGTGTGTGTGTGTGAGTGTGTGTGTGAGTGTGAGTGTGCATGCGTGATCACCAGGATCCCTTACACACCTGGGGCAGAACTCACCCCAGAGTCAGTGTTGAGGAGAATAACACCCCCTCCTGTGTTGTGTTGTGACTCATTCACTATAAGGGCCATGGCACAGCAGCTCCTGCTAGCTAGCTACAGCCTTTACTTAGATTGAAGTCGACAGGGTGCTACTTGGCAGTTGTTGGTTTGCATGATTTATATAGTTTACAGTTTGGTCTAGGAACTTCAGCAAAATACTCTTTATTATAGAAACAGCAGCTAGTCAGTTAGATAGTAAAACAGGCATGATATTCAAAGTAATCATTTTCAATATTTGTACTAAAATTCCAATCAAATCAACGTTTATTCATCGTATACACAGGATACAGAGGGGTGTAAACGGTGCTTTGAACTGCTTACTTGCTACCTCTCAACAGTGCAGTTAAATATCAAAGAAGTAAAAAAAAAAATAACAACAGTAACAATAAGTCAATAAAAGGTCTAATGCAGGGATGGGCAACTGGCCTCAGGCGAGCCTCATGCGGCAGCGGTCCCCCTTTTGTAGGCCAGCGGATCAATTTTTAAGAAAACAATGATGAAACACACACACATATATATATATATATATAGACACACTACCGTTCAAAACTTTGGGGTCACTTAGAAATGTCCTTGTTTTCGAAAGAAAAGCAATTTTTTTGTCCATTAAAATAACATCAAATTGATCAGAAATACAGTGTAGACATTGTTAATGCTGTAAATGGCTATTGTAGCTGGAAATGGCTGATTTTTAATGGAATATCTACATAGGCGTACAGAGGCCCATTATCAGCAACCATCAATCCTGTGTTCCAATGGCACGTTGTGTTTGCTAATCCAAGTTTATCATTTTAAAAGGCTAATTGATCATTAGAAAACCCTTTTGCAATTATGTTAGCACAGCTGAAAACTGTTGTGCTGATTAAAGAAGCAATAAAACTGGCCTTCTTGAGACTAGTTGAGTATCTGGAGCATCAGCAATTGTAGGTTCGATTACAGGCTCAAAATGGCCAGAAACAAATCACTTTCTTCTGAAACTTGTCAGTCTATTCTTGTTCTGAGAAATGAAGGCTATTCTATTATATTCTTTCAAAAACAAGGACAATTCTAAGTGACCCCAAACTTTTGAACGGTAGTGAATGTATACTGTATATTGTGAGCACCCGAGGTATGTAGGGGTGGGAAGGACCGGCTTTTGGCCCCACCTGGTGGCTAAACCACTCATTACAAGGTGTGGCATCTCCACAGAGACTTAAATGACTGCAGCTGCACATCTTGGACAGCTGACTGCAATTAGGGCAGCAGAACATGGGGAGGCAGTGGTATTCAGGGAGGGAGAGAGAGAGCCGTGAGGAGGACACGCCGAACCTCTGTCGCAAACATTGGACCAGTAAGCAACCAATGCTGAAGGTTTGAGGCTCTCTCTGCCCTGGGTTAAAAGATGATCTTCCCCACTGTTTACGCTCAATTACTGCCATAAAGGGCCAGTTGTTGATTCTTTTGGGACATGAAGATTCCCCAGGCTACCTGTGAACAATTTTTTTGAGTGCTGAACTGCCTTGTCTGTCTCTTGGTTTTGTACTACCACACATGTGACACACTCCACCTACGGAGTATATATACAGTCATGGCCAAAATTGTTGGCACCCCTGAAATTTTTCCAGAAAATGAAGTATTTCTCACAGAAAAGTATTGAAATTACACATGTTTTGCTATGCACATGTTTATTTCCTTTGTGTGTATTGGAATAACACAAAAAAAACAGGAAAAAAGCAAATTTGACATAATTTCACACAAAACTCAAAAAATGGGCCGGACAAAATGATTGGCACCCTTAACTTAATATTTAGTTGCACACCCTTTGGAAAAAATAACTGAAATCA